GGTTCCCAATTCCCACCACCTCTAATTTAGGTGATGCTGGATGATGTTGGTAGGAGTTGTGCTCAATAATATCAAGAGCTCTGACTGTACAACAGCCTAAGGGAGTAAGTCAATTAGTGACTGTTTACGATGATAATAAATTGAATTTCTACATTTTCAGTGGCGCTACTTGAGTACCAGCTGATGAAGACAAATGACACGAATACTTAACTGCTTTCACGGCTTGACTTATGAGCCTCATAAAGGTAACTGGCTAGCCATTGCTGGAAATAAAAGATTGGGTTAGATCAACTCCCTTCTAGCATAGTAATGAAGAACACTTGCATCTATGGATATGTATTTATATACTTGTCACTTTTTCACCTTGCTATTTGCCTAATGAGCTCAAGGCAGTGTACATGTTTCTCCTCCTCCTCCTCCTCCTCCTCCTCCTCCTCCTCCTCCTCTCCATTTCATTTTCACAACCACTCTGGGGAGCAGGTCAAGTTGAGGGGATGATTGAGCCAAGGCTACCACAACAGAGAGCTTGATATAGTGGTTTGAGTTTGGGTCTATGACTCAAGTTCAGAGTTCAAGTCCCTTTTTTGTTGTTGTTCAGTCGCTTCCAACTCTTCGTGACCTGATGGACCAGCCCACGCCAGAGCTCCCTGTTGGCTGTGGCCACCCCCAGTTCCTTCAAAGTCAAGCCAGTCCCTTCAAGGATACCATCCATCCATCTTGCCCTTGATCTGCCCCTCTTCTTTTTTCCTTCCATTTTCCCCAGCATCATTCTCTTCTCCAAGCTTTCCTGTCTTCTCATTATGTGGCCAAAGTACTTCGTCTTTGCCTCTAATATCCTTCCCTCTAATGAGCAGTCGGGCTTTATTTCCTGGAGAATGGACTGGTTTGATCTTCTTGCAGTCCAAGGCACTCTCAGAATTTTTCCTCCAACACCACCGTTCAAAAGCATCTGTCTTCCTTTGCTCAGCCTTCCTTACCTGGCCATTAATACGCACTGGGTGAACTTGGGCAAGCCATACTCTCTCATCCTCAAAGAGTGGCAATGGCAAACTATCTCTAAACAAACCTTGCCTTGAAAATCCTGTGATAACTTCACCATAGGGTCATGATAAGTTGGAAACAGAGGTACACAGCAAATACTTCAATTACAGCTTGGCATTCAAACATACATACATAGAGATAGAGAGTAAACATATTTTCCTGTTTGGAAATAAGCAATAGCAACAAATCAATTCAGCCGTGCAAATCATAGGCCTCTGCTCCTACAAGCCGAGCTGGAATTCTGCACACATCTTTTTCCTTTTGCCAAGAGCTGAGCCCATCACAAATGGATAATTTGTACCTCGTCCCCTACCCAGAGATGACCTATAAAATCAGGAGGCTCAGGGCTAAGCTCTTACATCTTACAATCCAAGTTTTAACCTTTATCAGGTAACTTAGTAAGGTGTGTCTCACTTCCCTGTCAGTTAATGATTATAGCTGATTGCTACCTCGATTCCTTGCTTCTCCTCTGTGTGAAACTCAGCATTTGCTTAGCTTAGGGATCCTTCCTGAATTCCCAGTAAAGCTGCCTGATCTCAGGTTTGCTTCTGAGTAGCAAACCTGAGATAAAGAGTTATCTGTGTTCAGTAAACTTTATTGAACTCACAGGAATGTATTTTTGAATAACTGTGTCTAGAATGGGATTGCAAAGAGTGCTTTTGCAACTCTGGGGTAACATTCACAGTATACAGTTGTATATAAAATCTTGAGAGTTAAGCAAAATGTTTCTGTTTGATCAGAACATAATCTGCAATTTTAGAGTCCATTTACTTTTCTTTCTTTCTTTCGTGTCAGGAGTGACATGAAAAACTGCAAGTCGCTTCTGGTGTGAGAGAATTGGCCGTCTGCAAGAAAATAGCCCAGGAGATGCCCGAATGTTTTGATGTTTTACCATCCTTGTGGGAGGCCTCTCTCATGTCCCCACATGGGGAGCTGGAGCTGACAAAGGGAGCTCTCCCCAGATTCGAACCTTCGACCTGTTGGTTTTTAGTCCTGCCAGCACAAAGGTTTAACCCATTGCGCCACCGGGGGCTCTCCATTTCCTGTGAAGAAGGGAAACTTAGAGGAAAGTCAAGAGCCATGGTTTCCACACAGCATAGTTTATCCTGTCTCCAGTATGTGGATCCATTTGCCCCAAAATACAGGGCTGGAAATCTTTTAGTGCTCTAAAAAAAGGCAAGAATACTGAATGACTTTGCAAAAGGAAATTGTAAGAATAAGCACTGAAATACTAAATTGGGCTGACAGCACTTCAGTACTGATCTGAAGTTCAAGATGGCACCTTACCCATGTACAGAAGTTGACCAAGTGGCAACTTACTTCAACCCCTAGGGATGGGACAGTGAGGACAGCTGGTTGTGAGCAGCATACAGCTTTGTCCTCTGATCAGGAGAGATGGTGATTATGGTTTGTGCATGTGTTTGCCTCTCACCCCAAAATGGGAAGATTGGGTACCCCTTTTGGTTTGGTTCATAACATAGCAGTAGTCTTCATGTAGTCAGTGTTTACACATGAGACAACAGTCCCCCTGTCTAATGCAGTGGTTCTCAATTTGTGGGTCCCCAGGTGTTTTGGCCTACAACTCTCAGAAATTCCAGCCAGATTACCAGCTGTTAGAATTTCTGGAAGTTGAAGACCAAAACATCTGGGGACCCACAGGTGGAGAACCACTGGATGGGAGGGCTGGTTTTCTTGCTGGGTCTTGCCAGATTATTTTGCATGCAAAGTGATTTCCTCATCCTTCCATTAAAGTTAAAGACATCAAGGCTCCTCTCTTATGTCAATTTGCGCCTTTCTCGATACTTCTATAGATTTAGTCGTCAAATGTAGTTGGTGTGGCATTTTCCCTTATGCACTTAAAATATATTTGTTTGCTTATTTAATAATGTAATAGTCCACCTTTCTTTCAATCCAGAACCCAATCCAAAGTCTGCCCAAAAGCTATTGCTATAGGTGTACTGGCTTCCAACCTCATTCTTTATCATGAAAGTCAGAATTGTCCTTGCACTACTGTAACATTAGAGCTTAAAAATGTTACTACTACTGCAAAATAAAAGACAGTCTTCTCTTGATTGTGTTAAAATGGTCCAAAGGTGTCAGTATAAAAGATCTCACAGTTCTGAGGAGAGATAAGTGATTGGGTCTATGCCAGGAGTTTATTGAAGTAGTATTAGATGCTGTTTTGTACATGTGCAACAAGTATCTGCTGTCTATCTCCAGGATGAATGTAGCTGGCTTTTCTTGCCACAATATACCGTATATACTCGAGTATAAGATGACCCGAATAAAAGCTGAGGCACCTAAGGAGAGGAAGGAATGCCCTTCTTTCAGCCCCACGACTTCCCACCAGGATCCTCACCCGAGTATAAGCCAAGGAGGCTTTTTCAAACTAAAAAAGGGCTGAAAAACTAGGCTTATACTTGAGTATATACAGTAAATGTCTCTCTCACACACAACACAAATATTATTTATTTATTTATTTAGAGCTTTTATAACCCGGTCTTCTCTACCTCCGATGAGGGACTCAGGCTGGCTAACAACAGAGAATCAATATACAAATAAACTAAAGCATAATAACATCATAGTACATTAATACATTAAAACACATTAAAATACAGATAAAGAATTACATAAAGCCAATTCGTCAAGATATTATATGTTAGCGTTTAGTTATTATGATTTTTTTCTGTCCACATGTATGTTGGCTTTGAATTTTTGCCATGAGTAGTTGGAAACCACCTTAAGTCTTCCCCTGCAGTGATAAAGGTGGTATATAAATATAGTAAATAAAATAAAATAAAATAAATATTAACTAAAGGGGGAAATTGGTTTCTTATACATTTCTTCCATCAAAATGACAAGAAGGAAGCTATATGAGTTTGATGCCACTTTTTTAGGTGAAGCAATCCTCAAACCTCGGGGCTACACCTGGCAATGTGGCAAACCTGGACCTGCAGTTTTCCAGTATGTTTTTAAAGTTGTAGCCTAAGACATTTTGCCTGCCTAGGTTAGACACCAGAGGTCTCCACAGACCCTTTTCACAGATCAAGAAAGGGCAAATTGCAGCTCCCCTGTACCATTTATGTGGCTGCTAGGGAGCCATCATATCCTCAAAATTACCTCTGGGGTGAAGAAGTCATTTCCACCAGGTCTGCAGACTCTTCCCTAAGGCCAAACAATTTTTTGTAAAATTTATCATTTTTTTGGCTCAGTATCCAAATTGTGTCGTGAGAATGTCCTTGTGTCCCATAGAGGGTGCCCGGGACACTCTATTATTATTATTATTATTATTATTATTATTATTATTATTATTATTATTATTATTATTATTGACACAAGTACAGTGAGAGGTGCTGCCTTTTAAGGTCTCCTGGGGAGCTGATGCAGATCCCTTGCTTTCCACAGTTGCCTCTCCATGCCATAGTTGTAAACTGGAGGCACTGTGTTGAGTCTGCTTCAATAAGGATCCCTATGAGTGTTCATACTGCATGATGGTGCATGATGTGCAAGACAGAAAACTATGACTTCCAACACTCCGCACACAGAGAGATATCCAAATATCTACCTGAGGCCGCCGCCTCACATTAAGATCATCCTTGCATATCTGGACAGCTTACTCCTCTTCAGGACCAGTTTCAGGCATGCCCAGCTGAGGACATCCCTTACTAGAAGAGATCCCCTCAACTTGTGCTCAGTTTGTTCTGTTTTTGAGCATTTGGACTTGGCCCATTAGTTCCACCCAAGGCTTCAAAACTGCCTGTTTTCTTTTTGTTTGTTTGTTTCTCCCTCTCTGAACTGGCTCTCTTCCTCCTGGTTATGCTTGCCTTGTCCTTTGTTGTCATTCCCCAACACCATTAACGAGCTTCTGTCTTCCCTAGTCACCACCCCACTGCCTTTTAGAAAGTATTTGCTGGAATTTGGCTCATTAGGGGCCCGGGAGGAAGGGGGGGGGGGGGTTAGCTGGAAGTCTAGTGGAGCAGGAATAATCCAAGCCTAGACTGGGAGCTCTGGCCCCCCTCCCTTGCTCAGTACTGTTTTGCTTCTCTCCCCGAGACTACAGCATAGCAACAACAACCAGCAACAAACTGCAGGAGCGAGTAAATATTTAAGGGTATTAAAAAGATTTTGACGTCAGCCTGCACCAGGTAAGTTGTGAGGCTGTTGTTGTCTTGATGTGATCATTCCTTGGGGTGGTAGATGGTAGATCAGGTGGCACTGCCATCTTTTCAACTAACCTCTAGATACGTCTTTAACAACTGCTTGGGACACTGGGAAATGAACAGTGAATCTGTGGAAGGAGACAGTTGTTTGTTGTTGAAGTTTCCTAACCGAACTGCAGTTTAAAATGCAAAAGCAGGCAAGCTTGTTTTGTTTTGGTTCCTTTTAGTTGGCATACTAGGGACGTTCAATTGGCAATCAATTTAAGTTTGATATAGGTACCTCAGTTAACAAAGCTCCTGGACACTGATTCTGTAATAGAAACTTTGCTACCTGCAGCTTATATAACATGGAAAGAATACATATGGGTTTCTATGCCACAAAAGAAGAGGAAGCAGATCACTTCAATACATTTCAAAAAACATTTTATGAAACACTAACAACATGCACATGTGAAATGAAAAACAAGTCGAGCAGAAGTAAGCAAAACCATTTTCAATCTAGAGACAAAATAAAAGCTTTTCCCCCAAAATGCATTCCGGGAAAGTTTATTTTTCATCAGCCTCTACCTTTCTTATGTATTTATTTATTGTATTTATATACCACCTTTTTCAACGCTGGAGGTACTCAGGGCAGTTTACAACTTACTAATGCCAATACACATGTAAAAAAATCATAATAAGTAAACAGTAACATGTAACTTTGAATTAAAATAATTAAAACCATTAAACATAAGACATAAACAACATTTAAACATTAAGACAAAGCACTGAAACATCCTATTATGAATATTAAAATAGCATGATCCAAAATCGTAAGCGGTAGTCATTCCAATTGTCATTGCACGTATTCCCTAATTATTCTTTGCACTGCATTACTTTACTGGCCAAAGGCTTGGTCCCACAACCATACCTTTGTTTTCTTTCTGAAGGCCAGGAGGGAGGGCACTAGTCTAATCTCACTGGGGAGAGAGTTTTCCAGTGCTGAGGAGCCACCACTGAGAAGGCCCTGCCTCTCATCCCCACCAACCGCAATTGTGGTTATAACTTACAGATCTAGTTATCCTTCCCTCTTTAACATGTTTCAGATAACTAAAAAAGCAGGTTCATCTGTTCTCCCCTTTTGCATTGCATCCATAGTAAGATATTCTGGAGGGAGTGGCTGGTTACCTTGCTTGTTGAGACAGTCCCACATATATATAGCAGGATTGACTAGAGCAGTGGTACACAACCTGTAGCCCTCCAAGTGTTTTGGACTTCAGCTTCCAGGATTCCTGAACATAGCACAAGCTGGCTAGTGCATCTGGGAGTTGGAGTCCCAAACAGCTGGAGGGTCACAGTTGTGTTACCACTGGGCTAGAGTAAAATCCCATTCCCCCATCTTTAGCTTCATTGCACTGTACACTACAGATATGCTTCTGCAACCCACCACTGGAAAGCTATGTTTCTCCACCTCTCTTTTCACTTGCTCCCAGTATTGATGCTGCTAAAAATCTTCAAGCTACAGAAAGGAACAAAAGAGGGCTTGGAAGTATAGAAAGACTCTGTAAAAGAAAGAATCTTCTTTGTTTTAACTATGCCATGCCTATTTGTTGTGTGCTTTGAAATAATTTCTGACTTATAGTGAGCTAAAGCAGAGCCTATAATGTGTTTTTCTTGACATTTAGAGGGTTTTCTTTTACATTTGTCTGAGGCAGACCGTTTGACTTACACAAGTTCACCCAGTGGATTTCCCTGACCAAGCAGGGATCCAAATCTTGGTTTCCAAGTTGTAGTCCAACACTCAAATCACTACACCTCCCATGTTCATAGTTTGTCTATGGCTATCTCAGAAAAGAGTTTCCTCCTTGTTTCTCATGAAGTATAGGCATACTGTACCACTATTTTAATATGCAGGGATTTAACAAAAACAACTAGCAGAGAATAGGAACAGCTGGAGCAGTGTTTCCCAAGCTCTGATCTTTCAGGTGTTTTGGATTTCAACTCCCAGATTATTGACCAAAGTAGCTGAAGCTTTTGGAAGTTGAAATCCAAACCATACGGGGGAGTAGAGTTTGGGGATAATTGAACTAAGCCATATATGTTTTGTGGAACACTAGCAATATTTAAAAGATTCCTAAAGAAGAGAGAAAGTGAAAACTAAAGATTAAATCAAACCCCATGTTGTGAGAGTACATATTAGAAAAGATGGTTCTCAGCAGGACAGATCACCAGGGAAGAGAGGTAGCAGGCAAGTATAACTGGAGAAAAAATACAAAGAGAAGCAGTCTTATTTTAATTTAGTTTAAGGGGTGGTATTTCCATTGTAGCAATAAAGCAGCATTATATTGAGAGTTGGGGTGCAGCATTTTCTAATATGTTAGAATGATAGAGTTGGAAGAGACCTCGTGGGCCATCCAGTCCAACTCCCTACCAAGAAGCAGAGGGCTGTTACAGTAGATCTTGAAATGTGTTCACATCAGATTGTTCAGTAGAATGAAACTGTCAGGAACCATGTTGTCTCTTTAGGGGTGCACATCTGAGTTTTAAAGCTACTTTGTGTTTCTGAGCTGTAGGGCACTAGGCATGGACCTCAAAGAGCATGGTAGTGTCCCAGAGTGTTTTGTTGGTGGAAGGACTACTATGACTTTCAGTGGGAGCGGAGGAGATATGTGGATTTCGTGACTTTATTAAAATACCTGAGGAAGGTATTTCCCATTGAAATACTAATAATTTTATATTTCTTAAAATTGTTCTTCATTTTAATTATTGTATTGTTTTTAAGTGTTTTTTGCACTACAAATAAGATTTGTGCAGTGTGCATAGGAATTCATTTTTTTTTTCAAATTATAATCCGGCCCTCCAACAGTTTGAGGGGCTGTGACCTGGCCTTCTGTTTAAAAAGTTTGGGAACCCATGCTCTACTGTATAGAGATAGAGATATCAACTGCCTCAATCTCTGCCTAGACACTGCCAAGAATGCAAAGTCCAACAAATCCCTTGCTCACAATTTCAATCACTAAAAGATGGAAGAAGTGACCAGGAGATTGACTACCTTGAACCAGGTTCTCATAAAAAAAACCTGTTTTATAATATGTAAGGAGTGGAAATCTTGGTTGGAATAGGACACATTCTCCTTATGCAAAAGAAATAAAGGAGGAAGGGAGAGAGGGAAAGAAAGAAAGAGCTGAGTACAGTCAGATTCACACACTGGACCTTTAAGAAAGCTGATTACAATAAACTTAATGAATGAAAGAAATACTAAGAAGGGAGTTCTTGATGAATGGGAGTTTTTAAAAAATGAAATATTACGTAATAAACTGAGGTTTTAAGAGGAATGTATGAGAAGATGTAAGAAATCTCAAAGGGGGCAAATCATGGATAAGAGAGTTTTAGCAATGTTTGCACAAGCCACAATTCCCATCAAACTTTTCAAAATTGGATCCCTCTTTAATAATTTTCAAATTACACCAGTAATTTGAAAGAACTGAACATCTATCCCAGATACTCGACTTAAGAATAGGAGGAAGGATCTGCAAAGGGTGAATCAGAGGGAAGATTTGCAAAGAACACGATCACTAAGATCACCAAGACTTCATTGACTGCAGAATTAGGGCCCTGTAGTGAACACATACCCCTTTCCGTGGCCTCCCCTCATCCATCTCCAGATGTAAGTGCAGCTCAATGGACTAGACGAAATAGGCCAGCAAATCCAGGGAAATTGAAGGAAACTCCACAAATAGAAATGGAACTGGCTTGGAACTTCGAGACTCCAGAGGGCAGAGCTACAGAAATGCCCTCGAAGAATCTAAGATCCTCCCTAGAAGGAAATATGGCTGCCCCAGTTCCATTACTCTGCCCTATCTCAATATAATCATTGGAAGACGACTGTGTTGAGGCCTTCTCCCTACTCCCAACTCCAGAACAATCTAAAATAATTGACAGAGTGGAAAGGCTGAGGAGTACCTTGCGGGCAGTCTGTGAAACGTCTCTAACAGAAGGTAATACAGACTCCTATTTAGCCCCAGCCCAGCCCCCAGTGAAACAGGAGGGGTCTTTTTTTAACTGCCCTGCTGCTCAATTAGATCTGGAGGAGACCCATAGGCCACTGAGGAGTGCGGCTTTGGAAACATCTTCACCCAGATTAGAAAATCCTATTAAGGAGGATGACCTTGATTGATTAGACATTTCAGATCCCTCCCTACATGACCTACCAGGAATTATTCCAACTCTTATTGGTAGGAGATATAAACTGGGGGGACTAAAATACCACTCTGCAAGAAAGTCCAGAATTACATCTCTGACAATTCCCCACCGGTCCCCCCTGTTCAAGTATCGTGGTAAACCTTGATAGCAAAACCCCTGAGCTAAGAGTGCTGCTGCTTAATGTCAAGTTGGTCAATGATAAGACAGCTATCATCAAGGACTTGATCCTGGATGGCCGACCTAGCTTGTATTATGGAAACCTGGTTGGATGAGAATTGGGGGGGGGGGCTATCTTACCCAGCTATGTCTACCAGGTTTCTCTATGCAACAGCATGCAAGGTCCAGTGAGTGAGGAGGTGGGGTTGTAGTGATCTATTGGGATGATCTCCCTCTGATAAGAACATAAATTCTCAACTCTGAAGGTTTTGAGTATCTCTACTTGAAAGTGGGAGACAAGGACAGAATAGGGATTCTATTGGTGTACTGGCCTCTTCACTATCCAACTGTTTCCCTTCTTGAGCTGACCAGGGTGGTCTTGGACCTTGTGTTGGAGTCTCCTCAGACCATCAATTTGGGAGGCTTCAACATTCATGCCAAGAGGACCTTGAGTGGCTCAGTATTTCATGGCTGCCATGGAAACCATGGTTCTGTCCCAGCAGGTATATGGCCCAATGCTGGACACACGCTTGATCTTGTGTTTTCTTCAGGGGGGAGGGTAGGTTGGTTTTAATGGTCCGGAAGTGCGAGAACCTTCCATGGTTTTTTTTTTATCATGGTCAGATCATTTACTGATCAGGTTTAGG